TTTTTTTTCAGTTTCCATGGCACCAAAGAGAGCTAGAGGTCATGGTCCTTCTTCTTCCTCTGTTCTACCAGACTCTATTGCTTCACTTCCTACACAGTCCATAGGTGGAGATCATGTTCTGCTTCACCCATCTTCTGCTTGTAGAGATCTCTTCGTCAGGAAGTTCTCTCGTAGCCCTATTTCTATCGAGAGAGCTGTTGTAGTTGAGGATCTCGAGCCTTACGACCTCGAGCACATTCTTGTGTCTTCTGGTCTTTCTGTCTTTCAGGGCATCGAGAACAAGGCCCACAAGCTGACTTCTCAGTACTTCTACTCCAACATCACTGAGCTGTCTTTTGATCCTCCTTCCTTCAGAACCCATCTCTATGGCTCTGCTTTCACTATCACTCCAGATTTCCTAGCAGAGAGATTCGGGTTTCTCACCACTTGTGCCTGACACCGAGCATGGATGCTGATCTTATGCACGAGGGGATGCTTATGCTGTGGGGAGGATGTTCCCTTTCACTGCGGGAATATCTACTGCTAAGATGGATGCCAGGTGGAGGGTTCTTCATAGGATCATGCTCAGCACTGTGTACTGCAAGATTGGCACGTTAGCAGAGATTCAGAAGGACGAGGCTTTCTGGTTGTGGAGAGCATCTCTGGGAGAGAGGCTGGATATTTCACTAATTATCTGGTACAGGATGGCTAATGCATTTGACGGCCCTGTCAACAATGCATTGCCATACGGAGCACTGATCAAGGAGCGGGTACATGGATGTATTCTTTCAGAGACAGGAGCTTGGGTTAGTGCTCTGGAGCCTCTGAGTAGGAAGACCTGGCGAGCGATGAAGATTCCAGAGAGACCAGGAGAGCCTGACTTTGAGGATAGAGTTCTTGACTACCTCGGCAGGATGGAGGAGGTGATCCATATACAGACCTTGAGCATTCAGGATATGCAGTCTACTATTGCAGCTTAGGGTCGGCAGATACAGGACACCAGCGACTACGTGAGAGATCTGAGACACCATCGGATGCCAACCTGGAGAAGAGAAGAAGCTGAGGATGAGCAGAGGTACCCTTGAGCACACATCTATGATGGAGGACATCCTGGTGCTGGTGGCTCGGGTGCTTGAGTACTGCTTGGTAGTTACACACGAGGATCGATGATGACCGACCTAATCCCAATTAGGTCCCCTGTGGAGGTTGTCTAGGAGTCCTTGTCCTTTTTGTAGAGGATTAGGATTTTATGTTTTT